GGATGGGTGTGTCAGAGGCAGTGCGATTGGCACAGGATAGAGCAGGGTTTAGGGCTGTTGTACATAGGGTCGCTATGAGTTGCAAGCAACTTGACGGCACATAACCACAACAACATACTTGGTGCTAGCTGAATTGAGTTCTGTTAATATTTGTGAGTTTCTCCTATCTGCCATCAGTTGAATTTGTCATTTTCCTCACAGTTTAATGATAGTGGTTGATAAATAAAGACAAAATATAGTACATGCTACATATTGTACAAAAAAGTTTAATTTAGGTAAACTGTGAGCAAACATATAGATCAGAATGAATATTTTAAATATCTTCAGTTTGTGCCAGTGGTTTACTGAGACTTTACTGCTTTTTTTTTCATAAATGGATTTTATACTTACACAACAATAACTTTTTAAAGTATTTTTGGTAACTACTATTTCTTTTTAGCAGTATTCTGATGAGCTCATTATAGAAGGAAAGTAGTCACGTTTGTAATTGTTAAACTTGTATAAGTTAAAAGAAAAGCTTAGCAAGTTTTCTAGGCTTATTAATGCCTTTGAAAATGTTTAAGATTATTGAAAAGTTTAGGAGGTTAGTTTATACTAGATAAGTACTAATTTCATGAGTTGCTTTTTTTTTAAGTGAGGCTGTAGTTGAAAGTAATTTCTGTATTACATAAATTGGTTCATGTTTTTCTATGTCACTGAAAGCATTTTGTGCTCCCTCTTTATCTTGTACAGTAGTTGGGTTGTAATTAGACTGAGCTCCTTGAGATTAGGAGACCTGGCAGGGCTCCAGCAAAGCTCATAATAAACTAACAAGAATTCAGCAGACTTTCATTGAATTAAAGCAGCAAGAAAGACAGAAAATACTTTTCTTAACTTTTATTAAAATTTTGTAATATCCAAAAGCATGTTGATTCACTAATCACTATGCATTTTCTACCCAGGATGAATAATTATCTAGATATTACTGAATTTTATTTATCTTTTTTGCTGAACTATGTGCAAGTAAGCTGTAGACAGTGTGATACTTCACATCTAAATTCTTGAGCTTGTCTCTTAAGAAGAAGTAACTTTGTGTGTAACTACAGTGCTAGTATTGCATCCCCGTACCTTTGCCTACTTTCTTTTTACTGGTACTGGAAGACATTGCCCCTCCTTCTCCAGCGGAGCATCTGGTGGATTCGAACCACGCACCCTCAGGATTGCAGTGCAGCTTCTTGCCACTAGGCCGCCAGAGCTCCCTTTGTTTTCTTCTTCTATATGGAATTTTAGACCCACTTGCCATCTTATGTGTGGCAAACATTTTATCTTTGAAGTCCATCCATTAGACTCTGTCTCAATCAGAACTTTATTATAAAAATGGTATTTCATGTATTATTTTTGATAATATAAAAATGATATTTCATGTGTGGATATATCGCATTATGTTTGTACTCATTTTTTGATGGGGTTAGAGTTTTTCCATCTTCTGGTGATTGTGAAGAGTAATGTTGATCTTTTTTATATATCTGATGTTTACGTATGACCTGTCTTCCCCTGTGCTTTGAGAGCCTATTCTTTTCTGTCATTCCAGGGTGTTCAGTTCATTGCTGGTGAGTTAGAATCAACTCATAGCTGGCCCTCCACTGGGTTTTCAGAGGCTATAAATCACATGAGAAAAGATTGCACATTTTTCTCTTGCAGAACAGCTGGTAGATTTGACCCACTTGGTTTGGTTTGGTTTGGCAGCGCAACTTCCAGACAGAGAGTAGGGGTCTGCAAATATTTGTTGAAAGAGTGATTTAATTCATAGGAACCTACTACTGTTTAAAGTGGTAAAGCTCCTAGGTTACAAGTTCTCCAAGGTCCTTCCAGACAGATGGATTAGCCAAATCCTTGGGGGAGGTATGTGTTCCAAGGAGAGCTGAGGAGGTTAGTGTATTTGGGGCATTTGAGCAAAGATAGAATGGTAGGGGGAGATGAAATTGTATCTTTCAGAGATAGTTCATACAGGACCCTCAGATTTCATTCAGATGGAAAAATGAAGGTTTCTAGTAGGGAAATAAGCGAGCTCTGGTGGCCTAATGCTAAGAAGCTGCGCCGCAAACCTGAAGACACACAGTTCAAATCCATTAGATGTTCCACAGGAAAAATATGGGCAGTCTCCTCCCATGCAATTAACTGCCTTTGAATACCCACCAGAGGGTCCGTTCCGACTTGATGGTATACAACAACAATAAAGAAATAAAGTATACCTAGGGCTCCTTGTTGTGTTATAGGAGTTTTATTTTCTTATTTATCTATATTTTCAAGTAGTCTATATTGAGCTTGTAATACTTCTGTGATAATATATATCTATATCTAATCTCCTATTTCAAAATTAGGTTTTAAAGCAGTACTAAATAGAATCTAATTCTTAATCTGTTATACCTCTTTTGATTTTAATTTAAATGGCTTAAAAATTTATCTTTTTACTCCTAGTGATCACTTTTTATACTTTTTCTGCATTCGAAGATGGTGAAGCTAGATATTCATACTCTGGCTCATCACCTCAAGCAGGAACGCTTATATGTAAACTCTGAGAAACAGCTCATTCAGAGACTCAATGCAGATGTACTTAAGACAGCTGAAAAGTTGTATCGTACAGCATGGATTGCTAAGCAACAGAGAATTAATTTGGATCGACTTATTATAACCAGGTAAAAGACTTTATGACATTAAGGTTTGTAAACAACTATAATTCTGTGCTAACTGCTAACTTAAAAAAATACCGTAAATTTGTTCCCAGCAAAGTACTTAAGATAGTTTAACATTCAAACAGCACTTTGCTTATAATGCACATAATTTGTTTCTAATTTGTCATTATTAGAATGATAATTTATACATTACTATGTCCACACCAATTAATTCTTTGTTTGAATATATTAAATATTTAATTGTCCAGAATAAATTACTTTTGTGTTCTGCTTTTCTCCAGGTATCATTTAGTAAAAACATTTCTGTTTTTTAATTTATAAAATGATAATATAATTTTTAAAATTTTCAGATATCCTTTTTTATATTAATACTTCATTGTCTCAGGAAGCAGTTTTTAATTAAGAATAACTGAAAAGGGAAATTATATACATGCTGTATGATTTTATTTACATACTGTTTAAAAATTAGGTAGGACTAATGTTTGATGGGAAAAATCAGAATAATAGTTACTTGGGAGAGTGGCATAGCCTGGGAAGGGACACAAGGGAGCATTTTGGGTTATTAAAATGTTTATGACTTAATCTGAGTGGTGGTTATATGAATGCTGACATTTGTAAAAATTGATCAAGCTGAACACTTGAGATTTGTGTACTTTTATTTTTACATCAATAATTTTTAATTTTTTTTTTAAGGATAATGCTGTTGTGAACATTGCAGTAGGATTTTTGTTGTTGTTTTTCTTTTTCCCCTACGCTCTTTGGACTTCTGTAAATCAAGATTTGCTTCTAGAAATCAAAAGTCCTGGGTTTGAAGCTTTATAATTTTACATCTGTCTTATACTGGCAGGCTACAACTGAAGAAAGTAGACCTGATACAGACTTACTGTGTTTAAGATTGAATATTTTTTAATTTTCTTGTGCCATAAAGAATCAGTTTTTCGTTTGTAATTATTTAATATTCATAAGGATGAAGCTATGGAAAATAGGATCTTCTAAGTAATTTTTTGAATTGAACTTCACTTAATAGGAGGAATTTATTCTTTATATTTGAAATTTTGTCTTTCTTTATATATTCAATTTTTATCCTAAAAAAATTTACTAATTCAGTATAATCTTATTGCTTGAACTATAATCAACTCATGTTTCCATTAATGTAGTATACCTAAGTACCTTAATTATTTAAGCTTGTTTGTTCATTTCTTTAGTGCTGAAGCTTCTCCTGCAGAATGTTGCCAACATGCCAAGATTTTGGAAGATACGCAGTTTGTTGATGGATATAAGCAATTAGGATTCCAGGAAACTGCTTATGGAGAATTTTTAAGTCGACTAAGGGAAAATCCTCGTCTTATTGCTTCTTCTCTGGTTGCAGGAGAGAAACTCAATCAGGAGAACACACAAAGTGTTATTTACACAGTCTTTACCTCCCTCTATGGCAACTGTATTATGCAAGAAGATGAAAGCTACCTCCTTCAGGTTTTACGATACTTGATTGAATTTGAGCTTAAAGAAAGTGACAACCCCAGGCGACTCTTGAGGAGAGGAACTTGTGCCTTCAGCATCTTATTTAAACTTTTTTCTGAAGGACTCTTTTCTGCCAAACTTTTTCTTACAGCTACATTACATGAGCCAATCATGCAGCTTCTTGTTGAGGATGAAGACCACCTGGAAACAGATCCCAACAAGCTAATTGAGAGGTTCTCCCCATCTCAGCAAGAAAAACTCTTTGGAGAAAAAGGCTCAGATAGATTCAGACAAAAGGTTCAAGAGATGGTAGATTCTAATGAGGCCAAACTAGTGGCTTTGGTGAACAAATTTATTGGTTATCTCAAACAGAACACTTACTGCTTTCCACATAGTTTGAGGTGGATTGTGTCTCAGATGTACAAAACCCTATCCTGTGTAGATAGATTGGAGGTTGGGGAGGTCAGGGCAATGTGTACTGATCTCCTCCTGGCCTGCTTCATTTGTCCTGCAGTTGTCAATCCAGAACAGTATGGAATAATTTCTGATGCTCCTATTAATGAAGTGGCAAGATTTAATTTGATGCAGGTACGTTTTTGCCATTATTGAGGTACACAGTTTAAAGTCAGGTGCTTGAGCAGGGGAATGGGAACAAACTGTAATAATGATATTCATATATTCCTTTTCTTCCTTTTTCTCAAACTGCCCTTAATTTGCTTCTCAAGAAATAAAAGCAAATATATTGAGTTTTAAAAGTAGTACAGTCACAGAATATTTTTTGTTTTTGAATGGAATCCTCACACATTTGAATGTACATAGTTGATTACATTTTTAGAACAAGTTACAAGCCATTTTCTATAATTTCAAAATCCAGAATGATTGAGAACTTAATATCTTTTTAAAAAAATTATATTTTATTAATTTTAATGAACATTTACAGAGATTTTTTATTTCCACTCATTCATTGTTGCACTGAGAACTTAATCTCTTATGTCTGTCTTTGTAACAAAACCTTACCCAAACAGACAGAAAGCTTAGTTATAACAAAAAAAAAAAGAAAGCTTTTTTTTTAAAGCGCCAATTATTCCATTTATGCTTGTGTATTCTTATGCTTTACTACAGAAATGTTACTATGTTTGATTATAATGTGCCACTTGATACTCTACTGGATATGTAACTAATGTAAATTACCTATGCGGAAATATCCAGATTCTGAAATTTGGAACACTTTTGAACTCAAGAGTTTTACACATATCCTTAGATTAAAATTAGCATTTATTTCATACTCAGCTCCTGAGATCGACCGTCTAATAGTTTCATTATTTCATACTTAGCTGTGTAGGTCATGTTATTATTTATTAAGGGAATCTTTAATCATATCTCACTTCTCAAAGTACTGTGAGGAAGAAACTATTCATTCAAACTTATCTTTGAGTAATTTTTTTTTAAAGCAGAATGCATTTTTTCCCCTGATCAGTCTTATCTCCTTGGGATGGTTAATGATAATAGAATAAAGATTTTCAATAAATTATGATCTATGAAATTATTTATTCTTATCATGTATTTATAGTTCTTTTTCTTTTTTTTCCAATGGAGGTTGAAGCATATGTTTTCAGACTAAATATTGTCCCAGGTGTTAGGAATAGGATATATTAACTTTAGAAATGAGCCTTAAAGAGAGTAGATTAGCGTTTTATTTCAGGCAGTAAAGAGTATGCTCTGAAAATTAATATTTGCTTTATTCATTTTCATTCTGTAGGAATTTGGTTTTAAATATAGAAAGAACTACTCTCCCCTGAGTGCTTTATAAACTATATAAGGGAAAAGTAATATTAACTTGAATAGTTTGAGTAACTTCTTACAGATTGAGTAAAAATTTTTAAATACATGAAAATTGCAATATTAGAAGCAGAAGTCTTTTATTGCTAATACAATAAATGTTGAAAAGACATTAAAGCACCAACTTCTCTTTATTCTCTAAATTTTTAATGTAAAAATAATAAAAGCTGACATAGATACATTATACTCTTCCCCCCCTCATTATACCCTTTTCTGAGGTCCCTGTTTTACAAGTCCATAAGGTAGTGTAGCTATTGTGAAACAGAATTTTTGAGTAGACTAGAAGAAAAAGAAACATTATAACGTATGCCTTCTTAACACTGTCTTTGATTACAGGTTGGTCGCCTGTTGCAGCAATTAGCCATGACTGGTTCTGAAGAGGGAGACCCCCGAACCAAAAGCAGCCTTGGAAAATTTGACAAAGTAAGAATGAACACTAAGCCATGTGACATAGTGTCTATAGAAAATTCTACCAATCCATTAGTGAATTATTTTCTTTATAAAATCCTACTTTTAGATGACTTATTAATAAAGTTCTTTTCAGTTATGCATTATATGTAGCAGAACTCTGTTGGGTTAGCAGCATTTGAAGGAAGATGTCATGAATGATTACTGATTCATTTATTATAGAGCTATCACTAATGATGATCAAAAGAGCTATTAAGATTAATTTCTTTTAAAGGAGCTCTGGTGGCCTACTGGCAAGAAGCTGTGCTGCAGTCCTTAAGGTGCATGGTTTGAATCCACCAGATGCTCTTCTGGGAAAGAAGAACGTCTTCTTGTCCCAGTCAGATCTGATATGGCTGTACACAACAAGAGAAAGGGAAAAAAATATTTTAATTTAAAAAGTTTAATTTATACTGCATTGAAACCTATGAGAGAGAGAACTGTTTGAAAGGAATATATGATTAGGTATTATTTTCATGACAAGAGTCCAGAATGAGAGCTGCATGGGGGAGTGGACTGGGGCAGGGATTGTATAATAATGAAAGGGTTTTTTTTTAAACTTTTCAATGAGAAAAACCAACTGGGGGGAGGGGTGGGCAGGGAGGAAAATGTGCAACAATGAATGAATGGAAATTCAAAGTCTCTATAAACTTCCATTAAATTTCAATTAAAAGAAAGTTTAATTTAAAAAAATTGTCACTAACTCAAATTTGTGGGTATATGAATTGGCAAAAATTATATAATTTTAAGTATTTCATAAGATAACATGGTGTTGTTTACTTAGTTTAAATAAAAGTTTATTTGATCATATTTTGAGTAGATAGTACATGCAACTTGTTTAAAATACAAAGGTATGCAATGAAATTTCTCCCACCTCTTATCTTCAACTTTCATTTCCTCCTCAAAACATTACTGATGTTTTCAGTATTTTGTGTATCTTTCAGGGGTTTATATGTATATAAGCCAATTCCTATATATGTTCTCCCATTCATCCCATCCTTTTTTTCTTACTAATGACAGGGTATTGTGCACACTGTTTGCATTGTGTTTATTTTTCATACCAGATTAGAATATATCTGGGAAATTATTCTGTCAATTATATACAGAAGGTTTTAGTTTTTTTCTAATGTTGAGTTTTTAAGAAGTAAAATATTTTGCATATTTGTCTAATCAGAAATTTGTTTCCATTATTTTAGAAAAGGAAATATTTCACTGTGATATTGTCCTCTTTTTTTTTAAACAGAGCTGTGTTGCATCTTTCCTTGACGTTGTCATTGGGGGCCGTGCAGTGGAAACTCCTCCAATGTCCTCTGTTAATCTTCTGGAGGGGTTGAGCAGAACTGTGGTTTACATAACTTATAGTCAGCTTATTACTCTGGTAATGTCTTTATTCTTTAATAAGGTTTTCCCAAATGTTATTTAACTAAATATTGGCAGAGTCATAAATTAGTGTGTTGTGTGAACACTGTATATTTGAAAATTGGTTTAATTAACTAATAGTTTTTAAATTTTTTCAGGTGAATTTTATGAAGAGTGTGATGTCTGGAGATCAACTGAGAGAAGATAGAATGGCGCTTGACAATTTATTGGCAAACCTACCCCAAGCCAAGCCAGGAAAAAGTAGTAGTTTGGAAATGACACCTTACAGTACTCCTCAGCAGTCACCAGGAACCACTCCAGCAAATAAAAAGAATCGATTGCCCATAGGTAAAGAGGATTTCTCATATGGAGGCTTTCTCTTAAATGTAACGTTTCTTCATTGGCTTTTATTATTATTTAGTGTTTTAAAATTCAGTTTTAAATAATTGAAAAGTCTTCAGCTTTGTAATGGCAGTTCAGTTTTTTCAAATCCCATATATGCCTCTGAAAACTCTGTGGACCTGGAGAAATAACAATAGTTATAAAAATGACTCAGGCCTTTTGTTCATAAGATCGCTATGAGTTGTCCTCTACTCAATGGCATTGAACAACAACATACTAATACTTAAGGTTTGTCAGTTAGACTTTAGTTTTATAAAGACATATATTTGCAACTAATTGAAATCTTGTCACTCACCTTTTTATATCGTGATGTGAAAATTTTGAAAAAGTCATTCTTTGAGGTAATTGAAGAAGTTATATAGCTCTCTACTTTCTACAAAGTTCCAAATAATATAGTAATCTATTAAATGAGTAGTACTATTTTAGAAGTTTCTATCAGCAAACTGGGAGTTAAGTGGTACTATTTTTCCATTGTTATTATTATTTCAATCTTTTAATCAACTGAACTATGAAATCTTGATGTTATAAAACAAGAGTTTGTTACTTTGTTAAATTTAATAATTTATTTAAGTTAGATTCAAATAAATTTTTAAAACATTATCCACACACACACACACACACACACACACACACTTAAATAAGCATGTATTTTGTGCCACACACTAGATAAGCACTTTATAAATGTTATTTTATTTAATCCATGCAGAAATCCTTCAAGAGTAAGTATATTATTTATCTTGCAGGTGACACACTGGGAATATACCAACCATTAGTGCATGTGCCTACTCTCAGTTGAGTTGCTTATAGTCTACTTGGAGATGACAGGAAGAGACTACTGTCCCTTTTAGTTCTAAGTGTTCTTGTGGAGGTTAGCATAGGGGTTATTAACACAGCTAATTTAGCCAGGTAAATGGTGCTAACAGGAGTTGGAACATGTAAAGCCTGTATTTTCTATGTAAATGAGAATTAGACAAAGTGTGCAAGACCTTGAGAGAGTATTTAGACCCAGGGAACAGCAGTGTGGCAGATCTAGTTTCTTAATAATTAGGAGCTCAGCAATAATTATTGTGAATAGTTACTATATTTTACTAATTAAAAAGGGTATTTAATTTTTCAAATCTATGATCAGCTTTATTATGCAATATCAATTTGTGAAAATTTACATTAAATGTAATATGTAGTTATAACAGCAGAAATATAGCTTCGTAAGACAAACTCTTTGGTTTTCATTATCCCTAAATGTGAATTTTCAGAAATCATAGAAATAGTTTTACACTCTGTAATTTTAAAATATTGAGTGATATTGTCAACTTATTAACATGAAAAAAATAGGTATGATTTTTAGTATCCAGACTCCTCTACCCTGTTTTTCACTGCTATATATTAGTTATTTTTCTGCCATTCAAAAGTTCATTAAGTATGTGTCTAATGGAAATAAATTTTAAATATTTGCTCAGTGGTACTTTGTATAGTCATTTGACCTAGTTGTTGCATTTATTTTATATTTTAAGAAATGTCCATTATTCAAAGGGTTGATTTTCTTTCTGTTTAATGCTTTCGCAACCCAGGACAACAGTTAGCAGCCATCACTGCCTGGGATTCCTCAGCCACCAATCTTACTGCTCATATTACTCTAGTAACCCCATTTGGTGGGTAATAGGCTGTTCTTCCTCTTATTTAACTAAGAAATCATATCTAAAATTGTGTTCATATGCATGTTGCTTTTTGCTCTATGTGAATAGCTATGTAAAGCTTGATAACTTGAATATTTTGTATTGTCATAAAGCTTATTATTTAATATTCCTGAAGTTGAATTTAAGTTCATAATTTAATAGAAGATTGGTAGGATAGGTAAGGTCAAGAAGATAAAATTGTCAGTGAGTTTATTTTAGACTTGGAAATTTTTAGATTTGTGTGCTCTAAATACTAAAACAAAAAGTGATTAATGAATAGAGCCACAGAATTATGGAGGGAAGATGAATAATATTTTAATTCTTCTGTCTTGTGTCATAGTAGTTCAGCTTCTACTCAAAGGGAAATTGAAAATGTTCGTTACTTTGGAATATTTTTTTATTTATATCTCTACTTCTGATTATTCTGTACCGGATGAGAGTTTCTATTTAGTATTCTGTTTGTATTGTTGTTGTTTTTCTTCTGTTAGAAAATTGAAACTTAACACAGATGACTAAAACTCAGAAATTGTTATAAACTAGCTAAATCTTCAGAAGACGATAGTGTCTAAAGTTCTTGAAAAACTTACAGGGTGGATATTTAGAAAAAAGAGGAAATCAGTTGTTTATAGGTAAAGGAAAAACCCGGAAATCATGGAATCCTTTATGAATTCAGAATATTTTCATAAAGTAGAGAGAACTTAAAATTTAAACATAAGGGAAATCTATTTCCCTGCATTTGCAGAGAATAGTTAATACATTTCAAGAAGAGAATGCTTTAAAAACAATTTTGGCTTTGTCCGTAGTTGCCTAATTGACATTTATTGCTTTTTACCAATCAGATTTCAGCATGAAATTTTCTTGGGCTACTAATAAGTTCACTTATTAATAGGAGAAACCTGTAATAGTTAAGTAATTTTATAGGAAGGAGGCCTTAAAGTTTCTTGAAAATACAAGAAATGAGATGGTGCTCTTCTTGTCACCCAAGTCGTAAATTGCCTGGGATGTGGTGGTTTACAGGTGTGCTCATCCAGGTAATCATGCCCATTAGGTGTGCTTGGATTTTTGTTCCTAATACTCACCTTTGAAAGTTAATCTAGATTTGTGAGCAATAGAGGAACTAGGAAGACCTAGTCATTATTTTTTTCAATCCATATTTTTACTACTCCTTTTTTGTGCATGAGCAAATTGTTATATTAATAGAAAGTATATATATATATACACACACACACACACACACACATATATATATATAAATATTAAACTATTTTCTTTATCTTTTCTCTAAATTACTTTCTCTCACACTTTTTTATTAGCAACTCGGAGTAGAAGCCGTACCAATATGCTAATGGATCAGCATATGGATCATGAAGGATTGTCTCAAGAAACCATTCCAGAGGTACAACCAGAAGAGGTCTTGGTCATTTCCTTAGGGACAGGTCCTCAGCTTACTCCGGGGATGATGTCAGAAAATGAGGTATGAAGAATTTTTGTGTGTAATTTGTAGCCATTCGTGTTACAAAATGTTACATGGGATTTTTTTCTTTCTAATTGTTATTTACTCCTTTAAATTAATATGCTTTAATGCATATTTTTCATTATTTTCAAGGATCTTACTAACCTATACCATTAAGCGTTAAATATGAAAGCACTGGAAGTGTTTCCCATTAATAACACCCATGGTCCTGAAGACAAGGAATTTTCATAGTAGAAATAGAATAAATAGACTGCTAGAAAGTTAACAGTGTAGAAATTGAAGAAACTCATCAGTGACTTGTTAGAAGCATTTTTTTTTCTAGTGGTATTCTAGTGATATTCCTGTTTAAGGAGGAAACAGAATTTGTTGAGACATACTTTTCTCTTATTTGGCCTGTCAGAAGGAAATGGAGGTGATAACTGAAAAGAAAACTAAGCAGTTAAGTGTTTAGAAGAAGTAAGAGTAGGGGGATGGGAAACAGTTACAAGCTATTTATAAATAGAACTTGGAATAGAGCAAAAGAATAAACCTAATTATCTAGAGATAAGAACCTCTTCTCACAAGTTGTGACTTTTTTAAACAGATACAGAATCTTCAACAGTAATTTCTTTTTTATTCAGGAAAACCCATTCCTGTTTTGGAAGCACAAACCAGTTACAGTGATTGATAAAGTGGTGGGGTGGTGATTAGCCTTAATTGGTCTTAAGGGACTGTAGGATGACCAGTAGGGAAGAGGACTCTC